ATAGTTTTATAATTTATTATTAGTTATTAACTAATAGTTTATAGATATTAATAATACAATGTATGAGTAGAGTAAACATCTGTACACTATATGGCAATTATAAATGTAATGATTATTTGGCAAAATTGTTAGTTAAATTTAAGTTACAATTTTGTTGTACACTATACGCATGTGTTGTTCACTGTATGATATGGTAGACAATGAAGTGTTTGATTGATTGAATTGCCTTGATAAGTTTAGGATAAGTTATATTTTGTAATAATAATTATTATAAGTTTATTGAATTTTATTCTAAAAGTCTATGAGTTTAGTTGTCATGTATTTTACGAGTAATTTTAACTAAATTTTTAACATTTGTTAAATATTTAATTATGTAATTATTAGATGTTTTATATCGTTAAGAGTTTGTAACTATTTATTTTGTGGTCAATTTTAATTAGTAATAATTGTTTTATTGATTTTGTGTAACAATGTTCAGGTATTTAATGACTAATTTAATTAATTTAGACTAATATTTGAGTTAAGTTATAAAATATTTTTAATAAACTAACGAAACGTTGAGAAAAACAATCTAAAAAATATAATTTCAATAAACACTTCATTGTTTTTAATGTACACTAACTGTGGTTATAGTGAATCCCCGATAAAGCAGTGAAGTTTACCCCCGATAATAATGTTATAGATATTTACTTATCGCTAAACCACTTATAAAAGCTATTAAAATAAATATAATTACAAATAATTAGTAATAAATTCGCAAATTATGACATTTTTTGTTGTTGCGATAGTAAAACCTCTATATAATGAACACAAAAATCTATTTCCAATAAAAAATAAACAATTGTGTGAATAATGTACAAAAAAACAACACAATTCACTCAATGATACAATCATTGCATACAAACATCTGTCGCTATGATAAACACAAAACTAATTAAGTAATTAACCGCTAAACTATCAACATAAAAGTTATAATAAGTTCTAATTATATTATAAAGTTTACAAAACTAATAAACCTATTATTTCTCTCCCACCCTAACCCCCAAACCCCACCCCTTCTACACCGGCACCCATAGGCAAGTCCTTTATGCTGAACTTTTTCCTGCGATACCTGCAGTCCGGTTGCGGCACAACCGACGACTGGCTCGGCTCGACAGACACCCCACTCAAGGGGTTCTCGTGGAGGGGCGGCAGTGAAAGGGACACCACAGGTATACTGATGTGGTCGGAGCCGTTTGTCATCAAACTGGACGACGGCCAGGAGGTGGCCATCGTTTTGATGGACACTCAGGGGGCGTTTGACTCGGAGTACACCGTTCGGGACTCGGCCACTGTGTTCGCGCTCTCTACTATGACCTCATCAATACAGGGTATGTACTTTTTTAAGAGTAAAATACTGTGACAACTAATTTGTTGGCCACTCTATATACATGTGTGAACACAAGCACTGATTTTTTTGGTTTGTTTGTTAAACAATTTGATTGTTTAGTACTAATCAATGGTTTTTCTCCCAAACAATCAGTGTCTTTGTGTTTTACATACAATTTAATTGAGTATTAAATGATTTTTCTCCCGTATTATTCTCTCACCCAGTGTTCAATCTGATGCACAATCTCCAGGAGGACAACCTCCAGGTGTTGGAGATATTCACCGAATACGGCCGACTGGCGCTCGAGGCCACCGACGAGAAGCCGTTCCAGAAGCTACTGTTTCTCATACGGGACTGGAGTTTCCCATACGAACACCCGTACGGTCTGACCGGCGGTCAGAGTCTACTCGAGAAGAAGTTGGCCATCAAAGACAATCAGCCGACACAATTGCAACGCGTCCGGCGCCACATTCGCTCCTGTTTTAGCGATATTGGCTGCTATTTGATGCCACATCCGGGCAACAAAGTGTCCACTAATCCCCGCTTTGACGGCCGAGTGGCCGATATTGACTCGGAGTTTGTCGACTATCTGAAGACGTTTGTGCCGCTGATGTTAGACCCGAAAAATGTGGTCGTGAAGGAGATCGGCGGCCGTCAGGTCACCGGCAAACAACTCATGGAGTACTTCAAAGTGTATATCAATGTGTTTGCAGGTAATGTCAATACCATACTTACCATATGTAATGAACTAATCACTAAACACTTCCCCCACCACCACAACAGGCGAAACAATGCCCGAACCCAAGTCTATGCTTGAGGCTACGGCCGAGGCCAACAACTTGACCGCAGTGGCCACAGTCAAAGACACGTACGTGGCCTCCATGGAGGACATCTGCGGCGGCGAACGGCCGTTCATTAACCCCAAGACACTGGAGACCCGCCACCAGGAGCTCCGGGCGGAGGCCATGGATCTGTTCGATAAGATACCGAAGATGGGTGGGCGCGAGTTCTCCGAGTCCTATAGGGAACAGTTGGTGATGGAGTTGGACCAGACGTTTGAACACTTTGAGGCCCAGAATAAGAGCAAGAATATGTTTAAGTATGTGATAATTTACTGCTCCCTCTCGGAGCCTCCTATTGGGTGCCCCCATAGTGTAATATGTATTAATAAATTGTTTGTTGCGATGGTCAGTATCTTTGGGACACCGATGGTTTTGCTGGTGGCGTGCGTTGTGCTGTTCATAGTGTCCCGTTTCTGCGAAATACTTGGTCTCTCACCGATCGCTAACCTGGCCTTCATTGTGGGCACCGTTGACTTGGGTGTACTCATCACTTACCTGTTCTTCCGATACAGTGGTAATTATCCCGATGTCATCCTATTCATCGACTTCTAC